CTCTCTCTCTCTCTCTCTCTCTCTCGCCCTCGATGCGAGTGACAGTGACCGCGGGGCGACCGGGGGGGTCGGCGCGGTGCCTAACGGACCCCGCCGCGCCGAGCAGGGAGCTCCGCCGTCGGCCCCACCGTCCGTCCGTCAGCCCGTCGCTTTCAATTTATTCGCCGAGCCGAAGCCGTAAGCCACAGTTGTAGCGTACAGAACAGAAATAAACGAATAAAAATTTCTGTTCAAGTTACTATAAATATGCTTAGTATTAAAGTACGTTCGGAATAGGTAAAACAATACTTCCCCACTCTGCTCGAAGCAGAGTGACCACCGGTGACTGCGGCTAACACACAAAATGAATGAGCATTTCATCACACGGGCGTTGTTTTCACGATTGCGACCCGCTCTCCGCTCTCCCCCGCTCACTCCCCCTTGGTACTTCCCTGGCCCGGCCGGCAGGCAGCGCCGGCAGCGCTCTCCTCGGCCGGCGCCGCGCCACGCCCCGCCACGCCGCTCCAGCGCGCCCGCCCGGCCGCCAGCCCATGCGCCGGCCCCGGCCGCAGTCGCCGCGCCGCACCACACTCGCTCGCCTGCCGCCGAGCCGCGCGCATCCCCCGGACCGGCCCCCACGCCGCCGAGCCCCTCCACGCCGGTGACTGGGCTGTGCCGATCCCCCCGCGATCCCCGTCCCCCTTCTCTCCCCCGGCCCCCACCTGATCCCCACACCGTGCAACGACCCAAACCTGTTCGCCGCCCCGGTCGTGCATAGTGTCCCCATTTCGGTCGGATTCCTGCCTGGAAAAGAAAAGCGGTGGACCCCGTCCATTGAGGATTTGTGAGTGTGTGCGTGTGTGTGTGTGTTGTGCTGGTTGTGCCCTGCATCTGCTGGATTACTCCGCCGCCCTCCTCGACTTTCACGACCAGCTGTAGATTTCGAAGGTAAGTCGGCCTGTGCCCGATTGTGTCCGTATGTATATGTGTCTGCGCTCGCTGGCTACGGCCCCCTCCCGCCTGCGCCCCTCGCCGGTCTTCTCGCTCTGCTTGGCGTGCTCCACGCTGCAGCTCCAGCAGCAGCAGAAGCTCGCAGGAGAAAGGAGGCACGTGATGTATCGTCCCTCTAAACTAACATTTCGCTGGGACGTCCTCCTGTGGCGACCTGCAAGAGAGTTTGGCCGTCCGATTGAAAATTCCTGGGTTGCTGTAGTTTTTCTAGACGATATATGTGTGTATTATACACCTGTTGTAGTATGAATGCAAAGTAAACTAAAAAATGCTATGCTTTAATCGCGTGAGGCATTTTGATTGCACTTTCATTGAAGAACCTGGTTCGTGTTTTACGACACCTGCTTGCTGTTGCCACTATGGAGCACTTTCCCGTTTCTAGACTAGCACTGTTATTTACGAAGTGACATCCCACCCAAAGGGTCCTCCTCAGCGGTCCAGTCTCACCGCACCAGTCACCTGGCCCAAGGTCGTATATTTTACTAAAAGGGGGTGAATGAGGCTGTCGTTGGCTTTTTGATGAATGCAATAAACCTTTGCGTCACGGATGACACTTCAATACCGTCCCCGTTGGCATGCCTTGCCAACCTCGGCTCGGACCAGGTAGGCTGACAGGTGTGGCGCTCGGCCGAGACATCCCGCGACGACCCCCTTTCGCGCGAAAACAACTTGGCGCCCCGGTGGTGGGAGTGCATATATTAATATTGCCAAATGCATTTCACCGTTCGATATAAACTGCGTACTTTAGGAAATAATCTTAACCGCTAAACAAGATAATCCCAAAGATATACCCTCGGCCTATTCCTGACGGTGTTAAGCCTTTCGCCAGCCGCGCGGTGCGGCCGACGAGGAAATTCCCTGCAGCAGGCTGACACTTCCAATTCATTTTACGACTGCTCCACTGACGAGGTGGTCGCGCTTCTCTGCCAAGCAGCGTCTCCTGACCTCGCTGACCCCGCGTGCCCGACCCGGCTCGAACCGGACGCCGATGTCGTCGACGGCAACCCCCGCGCCCCCGCCCCGCGCAATGCCGGCGACGGCTAGACTGCGGAGGTGTCGGCGGCGTCCTCCCTCATCCGCCCTCCTCGTCGCCGTGTCGTTGCCCTCCGTGTTCGCGGCCCCGGAAGGTCGTCATCAACATGACGCCGGGGTTCACGGCGGGGCCCGCTGTGCAGTGCACTTTGGACACACCTGCGGCGGCTGCGGCGTTGTCAGATGTTTAAATGCCGGGTCCACACGAGGGGTGCACTGCACTTTTGTCGTTGCCTCCCCTAACGTCCGTCGTGGCTGTCCTGTCCGCCTCGCCGCCAGGTGGGCGCAGACTATGTGTGTTGCCCCGCCATGCTCTGTGCCGCCAGAGGTCGGTAGGGGCGGGGCCGGCGGGGCGGCGAGGTCCGGATCGTCCCAGAGGAGAGGAGCTGTTTACCGTTACAGGTAGTCCTGCCCTGGTCTACGCGTGATTGCACGCTTTGGACGCCCATCCCGGGCTCGTCCCTGCCCCCTCCCTCACCTGATGCCCCGCCTTTATAATGGCTTTCTTGACCTGCGCGCGGGGCCTACATTTCTTTAAAAGTGTTTCTTTTTCTCTCCCTTTCATCCCACATGTGTGCTCTGTGCAAGGTCGAAGACCTGGCCGGTGTGTTTGTGCGTGAGCTTGCTAGTGTGGTTCTTTGGCGCGCAGGTTGCAGTGCTCTGGAGCAGCGCGGGCGCCAGCGTCGTGCCGTCGTGTTACTTTATGCGCAACTGTCAAGTGCCCCCCCCCCCCCCGCCCCCGTAGCGCGGTGGTTGTTAGGGACAAGACACCCCCCATGGCGGGGTGGTACCGAGGGGGGGTACTACTAAGCTATAATGTCAAGCGTGCACCAATTTTCTCCAAATTTTTGAATTTGATTTTTTAAATTTGATTTTTAAAATTTAACTTTTTTCCTATTTATTTTTCTGAACTTTTTTTTGAGGGTGTACACTGATGTTATTTGAGCAATTTACCTCTCGGGTGGCGCACGTCTGGCGCTGCAGTGACTCCGCCCCGCAGCCTGCGGCCGCCTCACTCGTGCCCTTCGCTGCCCTTGCCTAACCTAACGCACGCAGGCCTGGCCTAGGCCCTTCCAGCTCCAGACGCTCCGCAGGGCCTGCAGGTCCTCTCACCAGGCTCCGCCGGCCACAACAAAGAAAGCACGTTGTACGTTGTAAGCGCGCCCGGCGGTGTGAGATGTGAGGTGAAGATGACTCGTGTAGAACCGCTTTAAGTACGACCCCCTTGATGACGACCCGACGACCCTCTGATTCGAGAAACGGGCCATCGCCTTTTGTCTTTCTCGCGCCCTTTTATGGGTGTCGGCGCCGAGTGGGCCGTGCCCAGCCGTGTCTGCCGTGCCGTAGGTGTCGCCGCCCCCGACGCCTCTTTTGTGGCGGTATCGGTCGCCGTGCGTCCGTCTCGGCCGGCTCGTCTCGTTCCGAGGCTGTGCTCCTCTGCGGCGCACTTGGGCCCTTGTTCGGCCGGTGCCCAGCCCGGGCCGGG